AAAAAAAATAAACAACAAAGCACACGCATTCACAAAAGAAGGCTGAAGAGAAATGAACAGAGGATCTACGATAGGAGAGACTCTCCGTTACTACACAGAATGAGCATAGGCTGAAACATATCTCTCGACTCGTCGCCTATCAGTGCATCTATATATACAACCATGCCGTTTGCCCCTGCACTAGCAACTCGCGTCACCGAAAGTCACCACCGATTACAGCTCGCCATCATGGAGAGTGACACTGGACACGAGGTGGGAGGCGCAGGACGTCCGCGTCAGGCGAGTACCGGGTCGATGCCTCGTGGGATGGGACGGTTACTCCACCCTTTGTATCCGAAGCCCGAGTTCAAGAACTACAGCGTTATCGACGCCTACCCGAACGAGCTAGTGCCCGTCAACCATATTCAACGTGACACGGCGGATGATTGGGGATGGCAATGCTACCATGGACTACTTCGGTCTGCATTTGCGGCGATTGAGGCTGGGCGAGTCAAGACGGCCAGGACGAAGATGCTGGTGGCATCTCGTTGGCTGGTCGATGCGGTTCCTCGGCTCGGTGAGCACCATTGTCGTCTTCGCCGAAGATTGGAAGGTCGCACGAAGGTTGACTGCACAGCAGGTCTCCAGTATGACGATGAGTCGCGACACCCAGAACGTTTACAGCTGTGGACTGAACTGAATTTATGCTGGGAGGCATTGGGACAGAAACAAAAAGAAATTGCCCAGGAAACGAGGAGAACGGGAACGGGAACCGTCTCCGGCCAAGGTCTCTCTCGTGCGGCGGTGATCCACCTGATCAACGAGTTAGTCAACCTCGGCGACAAGTTAGCACCGTACGGCCTGGTCGACTTTGAGATGGGAATCTGGGAAGAGCAAATTGTCCACATCTTCATGGCCTGCTTAGACCTTTGGCCGCGATAACGCCATAAGGTGGGTGGCCAGTCCGAAGTTGGTCTGTAGGGTACTGAAGCTCTGAGCGTGCGACCGCGTCGGACGTCGCGCGTCACAAGCGAAGGGCTGGTAACGTCAGTCTGAGCGAGTAATGAATTGGGCGGGCTCCGTGTGCCGAGACCAAGGCCGTAAGTGATCGCTTATGTGCCAATAGCGCCAGCAACGGAAAATCTCTACTGGTTCTTGCCACACAGATCGGCCTGTAACACGAGCCAGGATACCGTTGATCGGCGTTCTTGAGACAGTGTTGACAGAGATTTCTAAGAGGGGCGTCAGCGCAGCGGAGTGATCCCGACTCGAAGGCCAGCGCGCCCAGCCAGTCCACAAGGGTCTTATTCGAGTGTCAAATGGAAGCGTAGATTGTCTCGAGGTCGGAGCCGTTAGAAGCATGTCGTTACAGAAATACCGCCTCCGGGCGTAGAATACGTCTGACCAGGGTGAAGATGTTAGCTACAAGGTCAAATGTTCCCAAGTGCTCACTACCTACACCTGGCGAGGCGCCGACGGTCGTTAATGGTATCAGCATCGTCAATCATTGGGAACGTTCGGCATGTGTTCGTGGGGTACAAGATGCCTATGAGGTGGAGTCGGTCTCGACACCAAATTACCGCTGAAGCACAAAAGTGTCTATTATTATCTATAAGAGAGACTATACCTCACTTCTCAAGGATGAGTGTGGTTCTTCCCTAAAATCTCTAACCATCCGGCCTTTTTTCAGGCATTGCGAGAAACGGTGAGTCTGGTGTAGTAGACTTTGCCATCACGGGATTCGGATATTGTATGGTTGCCCTTGCCCACAGGTGTGGCGTACAAATGGTCGAGTTTTAAGCATCCATGGCAGGCTAGCTTCTCCTGAGTCTTCAACGCCATGATGTATGCGCGCGGTACAAACCAGAGATCCGCAGTAGAATGATGTTTATTGACGCAAGCACCGAGCATCGAACCGAGCATCGAAACGATCATAGCTTAAAAAGCATTCAAAGCCCGTCCCTTGACCAGGATGATGACATTGACCGCTGACCGATTCTCGTAGGGTAGTACTGTACTCGAGACATCGTGACGTTGATTAAGCTTTCGGCCTCAATTATCAAACCGAAATGAATGCCTCGAGAGCTCCCTACTGGGGAGATGACTCAAATACAGCACCGGTCACCCTCTCGAGTTATCGTTGGGGGATGCGTATGATTGATATTTTATGGCTCGAGTCTGGCTGGTAATTTCGCAGCTACAGGCATCTCAAGAATTGGAGGCACTGACAATTTAGTAAACGGCGGGGAGAGATATATATGTCGCGTTGGCGTTCGCGACTTACCTTGGTTCATTGGACGGTAGTCCTCCTGGAATACTGGTAAACTCTCCGTATACGGCGGGGGTCCTTCAACGTCCATCATCTGCAGTGAGGCGACTTGTCTTGGGTGTTGCCGAGCACAAAAGAACATAGCTATCCAACCTGCAGTTATCGCTACGAGAGCAAGAGTGACAAAGGCATAGCAAATATGAGTAGACGGGATACCTCGCTGCGTTGATGTGTGATTCGGGGATATTAAGGTGGGCATGTTTGATAGTATGCAGATGCACTGGAGCAGGTGAAAAGACAATCGCATGGTTATTATCCTGAAGCGCGAAAAAAAAAAAA